GTAGGTGGGTATGCTAATGAAGTCAAAAGTGATAGGGGAGGGGTGGTCAAAACGAGTAGGTGGTATAAATTATTTTAGTAGGTGGGTATGCTAATGAAGTCAAAAGTGATAGGGGAGGGGTGGTCAAAACGAGTAGGTGGTATAAATTATCATAAAATTGTGGGCCACTTTTGTGTTGGTAAATTGTGTGCATCTTCTGTGTTGGTAAATCGAGGAGGATGATTATCATAAATTGTGGAAATCATATACCATGAAATGACTATTGTTCCTGAACAAAGAGCTGCCTGGACGTGCCTGAATGAAACAAAAGATAAGTTATTCAAAGTCTTGTGGTTTCCTGAGTTTGAAAGCGCTTGCCTCACCATTTATCGACTAGCTTTCATACAGTCAACATCGATTTGTGTTTAAACAACATTTGTGAGTCATGGCGGAATTTTTCTTCGAAACGTCTAATGATAAACCCGACCTTTTGGTAAGTATCTAGTAATTCATTTTGAGTTTAGTATATTACGCAAAATTAGTCATACTTACACTGACTTTTGGTTGAATATAGTTTGGTGATTTCACCGAAGATGACTGGATTGCCATCGATTTAGCATGTGAAAAAGCATACCGCAAAGAAAGACAAGAAAATACTATTCAATCAAACAAGGTGAGTAAAGTTTTATAGTTTTTATGTGGAAATAGTTATCAACGAAGCATAGGAACTGATTTCCTTTTTCGAGTTTCAATCAATTATCTGCTGCTTATTCTTATTTTGAGAGTTTTCTCTCGATTGATTATTTTTAAACGTCTTGATTTCAGCGTTTGCGGGATGAAGATATTGTTATTGACCCAGTAGATAATTCTTTGTCCGGCTTTGAACACGAATCGGTAAATGAGTTTGTATTATGTTCTGCATTTCAACATAAAATTGTTCCTTTGCTATTGAACTACTGAGTTATTTATATTTTGCTTATACTTCATTTTCATGAGTTTTACCTTTTTTTTGTTAAACAATGTTCCACTTTATGTAAGTTGAAAAAATTGAAGTAGTTATATATCTTATTATAGATTGTCGAAGTAGAGAGAAAAGATCAGCACGGTAGCGGCTTTTCACCCACGAAGGTAAGCAACAAGATGTTTGATATTATGTGTATATAATTGCGTCAGTTTTTCGCATTATTGAATTATATAGAATCAGTCGCTCGAATATACAGTTAATTAATTACAAATAATAATATGTAACATTTATTAATTAAATTAAGTATAAAAAAACGACGTATAAAATAGTCCGAATAAATACACCTTCGTTGACAGAATCTCAAATCTTCACAACTCTATTACCGCAAAATTCATTTTTTGTTGAGATTTTGTTAGTGACTAGATGAAATCGTTATATTAGTTCAGTTTTTGAAGATTGAAAACTATTAATTATTACTTTAATCTGTTTAAGGAACCATTACACAAACGAAGTCGTCTTGAATGTCAAACGTGTGGAAAATCGTTCTCAAGAAAAGATGCCTTGAAACGGCACGAGAAGGTTCATCAAAAAGAGAAAAATCATCAATGCGGACAATGTGGGAAGAACTTCAGCCGTCGGGACTACTTAAAAAAGCATCAGAAAGTTCACGAGAAACATAAATTGCATAAACATAGTGTTGAGCGTGAGTATAAATGTTTAACCTGCGGACAAACGTTTAGTTCAGTTGGACAATTCAAATCCCACCAGAAGTCAGTCCACTCTTTGGCTAAACAAACACCCCAAGTTGAGAAACGAAAGCGAAGCCAAGTAGATGATCAGTCAAGTAAGAATATTTTAATTTATACCGGACATTGGTAACATTGAAAGTGCCACTTGGACGTAATTTGATAGAAATTTGAAAAACAACAAAAAAGTTACTTGTTTGAGCTGAAACTTCTCATGGATATCAATAAAGTCTTCATCAATAATATTCCAAAGTTTCGTCTTTTGTCTCAAACCAGAAAGGATTGAAATTTAGCGTTCATTTTTCGGTCGCCATTAATT